ACTTCGGGACGACCGTAACGGAATTTAATGTCAACCCGACACGACTCGACGCGAGGCGAGGCGACGTGCCGTCGCCGCGATGGGGTTTCACACGCCCCGAGCGTCTATTTGTCTCTGTCAGGAATAAATGGCACGACGCGAGGCGCGCACGTTCCCGGGCATGGGCGTACCTAATGCGGGAGGAGTCCACCGTGAGCCGGAGGATGCTTTATAGGTGCGAGGTCCTGCGGACCGCGAGGCTGATGGGCGCCGCCATCTTGGCCGCCATCTTGCCTGCCTCGCCCAATCGGCGCTTCGACGCCCGGTGCCCGGCTTTTTCGAACGGTTCTTGCGAAACCGTCGCGACTTTATTTATGTCACGAGGACGAACAAAGGAGCCGGTACTTCCGGTGAATCGGCGAGTCTACCTTGATACCGCTTTGATCGCCGCGGTGAGACGCGAATATCAGCAAGTCGTCCGATGACTGATCCAAGATGGCGGCAATCGGGGCAGACCCTGTCAGAAGGGCCCGTGACTGGTAGACGTTACTTCCCTGCGTATATTTTTTCAAAAAGGCCCGTTAGGGTCAGCCAAGCTCCGAGATCCCCACGGTGCGCTGTCCACGGGACGTCCAAGACGTCCGAGACGTCCGAGATGCGTCCCGTGGGCATTCGACAGACAGCCGTGGGATACGCGTAGACAAAGAAGCGCGTACTCGTGCGTTTTTCTGCATCCTTTCCGTAACCGTGTGGCGCGGCCATCGGTTCGTTCGGGAGGGTTCGGCCGATTGTCGGCGAGGGGAGACGGCGGAAGCGGCGCTCTCGAGAATTATGCGCCTTTAATTAGCGCCCTCGTTGCGCGGTCAGGATACGCTCGGCCTCGCCGCACGAGGGCATTGTGTCGCGAGAACCTCCTCGGACGAGTAACCGCCTTCGGTGATGGAAAGCGCGCCCGTTTAACGCGGGAAAGTGCTCCGGAAACCTCTCAAGAATTCGTGAGAAATTGGATAGTTTTAGAGAAACGTTGAGATGGACTCGTTAGAACGGAATATTGAGATGAGAATAATAATTCTCGATCGATTGCATCCAATATTCTAGCATATCACCTAGAGTATTAATGGAACTTCGTACATTCAAGCAAAATATTTCGTTCAACAATTACGATATTGTCTAAAAGTGCAACTATTCAACGAAAACGCTTCAATTAATCGAAGCATATATTTGGTAACATTCAAAGAAATATTTCTTTGGTTCGATGAAATTATATTGTCAGGGTACCGATGCGTCGAAATCGGCGTTTAACCGGTCAGGCCGAGTTGGATGGTTCGGTAGCACGGTGGAGTCAGCACGTGCTGCGCAGATGCGTGACGCGCACCCGGTGGAAGGACGCTCGGAGGGTCGGTGCGCGAAGGAAGAGCCCAGCCAGTCGCATCTCCGCCCCGGGCACGTGCCACCGCGGTGCGCGCGGCCCGGGGACGGAGCCTCGGGGTTTACGCACGGCGAGCTCGCGGAGCCTCCCCGGTCTTTGTTGGCGAGTTCCACTTTCTTGTTGCTCGGTCTTCCTCTCTACTTTTTATTGCGACTATTTTCCCCGAGCGGACCGCGCTCATCTCGGCTGGGTGACGCGGCTCGACGGTCGGACGGCGAATTGCGGATCCTCCGCTGCCGCGCCGGAATGCGGGTGGGAGCGTCGAAATCTCGCGAGCGCCGGAACGGCGGAACAATGAGGCGCCCGAGCGCTCGTAATCCCGAATAATGCCGAGTCCCGGGAAGCATCCGAGCCGATCGACTGCGCGCCCCTCTCGGCTCAACCCTTTCGTCGCCCCCTCTCCCCGGGCATCCTCGCCTCCCCGCCTCCCTGGACGAAGGAACCTTCGAGTGGCGGCGCTTTATTTCCACCCTCGCCGAGTCGACGTGCACCATCGGAGCTGCGCATAATGCAAAAGAGAAAGAAATAAAAACGGAAGAATCCGAAGACCTAAGGAAAATTCAAACCCCTCTCTCCCCCGGAACGGGGCGGCGTCGCGCTCGCTCCTCGGAGCGATTCCTGACCTCGCTTCCAGCCGAGGTTTGCTCGGCGGGGGATAAAAGTATCGGGAGACGGGAGATCCCTTGATCCCATTTGCAATTAAAGAAGGGATCCCCCGCGCGATCTCGGGGGCCGCCGGGTCCACGTCCGTCGCGGAGGTCCGATAAACGCGGAAGGGCCGTCCATAAAACTCGGACCTCTCTGTCTCTCCCCCGGGCCGGCCCGCGGCGGCGCGGAGCCTCGGTGGATTAACGAGGGAGAGCGACTCTCCGCCGGCGGGGGGAGCGAGCGAGAGGGTACTAGCGGCCGGTCTACAGCGCGAGAGAGACGACGCGAGGGTCGGTTGCGGCGCGCATCGCGCAACCACTTTAATCGGGCTTCCGAGGTCGGCGATGTTGCCGATGTTGCCGATGTCGGCGATCCCGACAGCCGGCTATGCCCGGACCCCGAGCGCGATGCTCTCTCACGCGACGCCGCCGTTAATTGATTCTCTATCGGCGACCCCGTTTCCCTTTACGAGCCGAGCGCAGGCTCGATTTCACCTGCGAGGCCTAAGGCCCCCTTCGCGCGGATCGATGCGCCGAGCTGCCTCGCGACAAAATTCGATACATCGACCGGACGTAAATCCCCCGAACGGCTCTTCGATCGAGCCAGCGACGCGCACTTGGCGCGGGACTCTGCCCTCGGGCTTTCGATTCGAGGCCTCGTTACCGACCCCCTCGTAAAAGTCGAGTCCACGTAAATGCAGCCATCACCGGGCGCATGCATCCTGCCTACGTCGTTCGAGTTTACGGGAAAGGCGGGGGAAGTCGCGCGGAAATCCGGGAAATCCGGAAAATCCGAGGAATCCGAGGAATCCGAAGAAGATCGCCCTTTTGCCCAAAATGGCCGCCGGTCCTCGGACGTCCGGGGCCGCGGCTCCCGTTGTGTCGGCGTTGTAAAAAGCGACGCTACCCTCGAAATTGCCCTGGGGAGGTACGACCTTTTTACGACGACGAGGCCTTGCGATTCCAGGTCCCGTTCTTGATAAGGGTTCTCCGCAAGTAATTCTCTAAAGTAATTTTCCGCGATTCCGCGTGCGACTCGTTTGACTCGTCGTACCCGTTAGGGCTCGGCGGACCGCGGATTTTCTTCCCTCTAGGCGTCTCTTTCTCTCTCTCTCTCTCATCTTTCTTTGCCGACCGGTACAGTGTACGGTTAATCCGCGTTTCCGCGAGCGATCGCATTCGTTACTCGAACGGCAGTTTTAAGAGGCACCGTGCCCCGTAATGCCTTCGACCTGCGCGCGCACTCGCTGCGAGTACTTTCGCGTACGGCTACCTACGTGCGCTGAGGTATATGCGGAGGAAACGCGGCTTGCCTCTCTCGGGGCCTTTTCCGCGGCTCTTCTGGCCTCTTTGTGCCGCTCTTCGCGTCGTACCGATTCGGTACACGCGCTCGTACCTTCGGACGTGTCCGTCCATTCCGGGCTTTTAGCGGAAGGCCAGCTGCATCGCGGACGAATCTGATGGCGTCCTTATACCCGCGGTGCATCTTTAATTTCCTGCCCGCCAGCGATATGCCCTTCCGTCGGCCACGGCAATGCGACACGCCAATTCGATTTACGTCCGATCGCAGAGGCGAGCGAAGAAGAGACAAGGTGCGCTTCCCACGGGGACCCCGCTTTTGACTCGCTGCGCCTTCTAAAGCGCCGCCATATTCCAAGATGGCGGCGGCTCGCCCCGCGAGTACCCCGAGGAATGAAATGCGTTTTCGAAATAGAAAAATAACCGAATACCCGGTAGATTCGCGTGAAGTGGAATGGAAGGACGAAAGTTCACGCTACTTTGGGGTCTTTTAGTTTAACCTCTTGTAAATTTACGTCGTATTTGGCGAGGTATTTTTATTGGACGGTTGGCAAACATGGCTACGTTTTGGAGGTGCATTACGGTGGGGACCGTTGAAAGGGGTGGAGCACCTCTCTTGCATCACGGGTCGTTTCTCCTAGGTCGATCGAACTCGACTCGAGACTTTTCCTTCAATGCCCGAAAATTCGATCCTCTCTCCTCGGACGCGAAACCGCAGCGAAATTCAATTCGGAAGTGGACGTCCTTCGCGCCCTCGGTCCCGTCCCCGAGGACGGATTATTTTTACGGCGTGAAAAGAAGCATCTAAGGAAGAGGGTCTAAAAAGGGTGTTCCTAGTAGAGCGGCGGATTCGCGTGAAAAAAACGGCGCGCGTGCACGCCACGTGCTCGCCCGTGCTTTTAATACTCCCCGTGGGTATACTATGGGTACACGTCGCGTTCGCGCTAACATTAAGTAACGAGGAAAAAGTACTCTCGGCTCGTTTCTCCTCGTTGCGCTCCTTCGCCCTCGTCTGGGCTCGGTCTCTGCCGAGGAGGCCGATCGGTAGATCAAGGATTAAATTCGGGCAGCTCCTTGCGATTACCTGTACTACCTGTACCCTGGACATCGGGACAAGACACTTTAGGAGAGGGGTGACGTTAATACTCCAATAGGTAGCGGTGCTCCGAGGTCGGGCATTTCTTTGGCTTATACGAGATCTTCCGTCCGGTGACGATCTGCACGAATAAAAATACTCAAAAAATTCACACATCCTCGGCACATAAGAACGGTAAAATTACAAAATTGACATCTTCCAAGTGAATCGAGATTTATCATGAATTTTTAATTATATTTAAAATTCTACACCGAGTAATAAAAATTCATCGAACCAAAGAGATATTTTGTCAATTCATAGAATAATTTGACTGAAATAAATTGTCACATTTCCGAAGAGATGTTGCATCCAATTAATTTGAGTTGGAGTCAAATAAACATTCTTTGAATCAATAATGACGTATTTTTCTTGGTTCATCATCATCTCGTGAAATTTCCAAGTAAATTAATATTATCCTTGCGTTTGCTACATTTTGCTTATGAAATATGTAATTAAAATGTGACGAAATCGCTACGTTTGATTAACGGTGCAATCGTTGTTCGGCTTGCAGGAGGCAGAGGAGGCGCAGGAGGGGCTCGCTCTCTCGGAAGCGGTCGCCGGCCGAGTAGAGGATGGTGCCCGGGGGCGGAGGCGGAGGGGGACCACCGCGGCACCACCGGCTGCTGGTGCTCTCGGTGATGGCGACGCTGGTCTCGGCCCAGCTGGCCCAGCCGGCCTCCTCGACGCCCGAGGCCATCGTGCACCAGTTCTACGACCCGGAAGTCGAGAAGATGAACCACATGGTGGTCGACAAGAACACGGGCCGCGTCTTCGTAGGCGGGGTTAACCGGCTGTACCAGCTCTCGCCGGACCTGCAGCTCGTCGTCGAGGAGGTGACCGGGCCCCAGGGCGACTCAACCTACTGCTCCACCCTGGACTGCCCGCGGGAGATCGTCAAGCGACTCGCCGACAACGTCAACAAGGTCCTCGTCATCGACTACACCACCAGTCGGCTCATCTCGTGCGGCACCCTCTTCCAGGGCATGTGCACGGTGCGGAACCTCCACAACATCTCGGACATCGTCCAGGACGTGAAGGAGCCGATCGTCGCGAACAACGCGACCGCGTCGACGGTCGCCTTCATCGCCGCAGGACCGCCCAACCCGCCGGTCTCCCAGGTCATGTACATCGGCGTCACCTTCACCGGCAACTCGCCCTACCGGTCCGAGGTGCCCGCTGTGAGCTCCAGGTCGGTACATCTCCCTTGTGGGTTAATAATCTCATTCTCGCTGTCTATCCGCTGGAAACTTTGATATCCATGGATTTCCGGGCCAGGGTGTATATCCACGCAAGGGGACCGATTGCCTGGATATTCACCCTGGACCAGAAGCCGGCCAGTTAAAGAAGGAAGAGGTCCTCGAAAGAAGCGGACGGGTTCGCGTAGCGAGTAGATCGCAATTAGTCGCCGGAGACGCGGGGGAGGGAGTCGGCAAAGGGAGTCCAAGAGGGTCTAACAGGAGTCCCCGTTGCAGGTCTCTGGACAAGGATCGCATGCTGAACATCGCCGAGTCGGCGGTGACGACCGGCACGCGGATGTACGTGAACTCGCTGGCCCGGGAGCGGTACTTCATCAACTACGTGTACGGGTTCAGTAGCGAGGGCTTCAGCTACTTTCTGACTACGCAGAGCAAGAACACCGAGACGAACGTCTACATCTCGAAGCTGGTCAGGCTCTGCCACGACGACGAGCACTACTACTCCTACACGGAGATCCCTATCGACTGCACCAACGAGAGCCGGGTCTACAACCTGGTGCAGGCCGCCTACGTAGGCAAGGCGGGCTCGGTCCTGGCCAGCGATTTGGGCATCACGGCCCAGGACGACGTCCTCTTCGGTGTCTTCTCGGAGAGCGTCTCGCCCACCAGCAACAAGCCCGCCAACGAGTCCGCCCTTTGCGTCTACTCGCTCAAGGCCATCCGGCGCAAGTTTATGCACAACATCCAGAAGTGCTTCACCGGCGAGGGCCAGCGGGGCCTGGACTTCATCTCGCCCAGCCACAACTGCGTCCGAACGGTGAGTGTCCGGGGCGAATCCGAGGCCCGGGTGGGATGGAAAGCACGAGGGGGTGTCCCCTAGCCATCCGGCAGATTGATAAAAGTGGCCGGAACTTTCGCACTCCCCGAGAGGGCGTGTAGGAATTTCCGGGGACGAAGATTCCTTCCCAAACCTCGGACCGACTCGCCTAGGAAACTAGGAAAGTAGGGAAGAATTCCCGTAGTGGAGACGAGTCGTCGTGGAAAAATTGCCCCTTCTCGATTCCCTTGATTTTATAAATCGAAGCCCAATGGATATGGTAAATTAAGGACGGAGGAGGAAATAATTGCGTCGCGATCACCGTGCACGCGCATGGAGAGGGCATACTTCGTCTCCGCGGCTTCGATATTCAGTTATTCAGGGAATCGCGTCAAGGTATGTTCCCGATGTCCGGTAATCGCGAGGACACGTGTAGCTCCCTGGATATTGCATTTATGGGCCATTCTGGATTTCCCGAGCTCGTAAACGGCCTCGTATGCAAATCTCTCAAGTTCAAGTCGCCCGGAGCGTTTTCCAGCTCGCGCGCGGCCGTGCCTAACGGCCCTCGAGCTATCTCTCTAATGTGCGTTCTTCGAGTCACTCGAATCCTTACTCCTGCCGAGGTTAATCCGTAATTCCTATGCCGTTTCGTTACAGCGCTTATCCCATATTACCACTGTACTCCCTGGAGAACCGGCAAGCTGCACCTTCCACCGTCCACGCCTCGACTACCCGAAGAGAGGGAGAGAGAGGGCCATCGATTTCGCCCGATATATCGCGTCGATCGATCTCCCTCCCTGCGAAGACCTTCAATTTTTTCACGGGAAAAATCCGAAGTCGTGAAACCGGCCCCGTGAAAATTAGAGGGGGGGGGAGATTATCTCCGTTTTTGAGGAATAACTGGCCGCTCCGAATGCGCGAGGGCGGTTTAATGGAGTCGTAGCGAAGGGTTAACAGCGGCCATTGGCCTGGCAATATTTCGGAGGGTCGAAGGGCGTTATCGGGGGTAAGGTCCCCGATCGATCGGCCCCCGTTGCCGATCGATCGCGTCCCCAGGGACCGGCGCGATTCAGCCGTTCCTCGCGAACGACCGGCCGACGCGGATAGGCGCTCGCTCGGCCGTTACTCGCTAAATCAATTGGCCGCGATTCAAGCTGCACCTGTATTTGCGTAACAGGTGGCCTCGAAATCTCGCCCTTTTACGAGGAGCCTCTCGAATGCGCGCCATATGCCGGGTCCATTACGCGAGGCGAACGCGACGCGAAGGGCCTCCCTCGGAGGCGAGGTTAAAGAGTCCCCTCCGAGGGATCCTTATTTCCTCCGAGTCTTCTTTTTCCACTCCTTGTTCCTCTGCCTCCTCCATGTCCGAGCCAGTGACTCGATCTCTTCGTTGCTTGACCTTCTACCCGGCTGGTGTCGTCCCTCTAGCGACCTCCAACCATGCCCTGGGGTAACCCTCGCCACATTTTCGTTCCGACTGTCTTTTAGTTTCTCGAATTCTTCCGATTTTTTAAGACAACCTCTTATCACATGACGACGAATGGGGACGGTCCCTTGACGTTACAAGTTACGGCAAGGGTTAAGGGGATGCAAAGGCGACATCGTTCATGAAACATTTCTCCGAACAGGGGGTACGGTTTCAAATTTCACGACGTGAATGTCGGGACTACAAGAAAGGTCCTGACATCCGTGAAATTTCATTTCCTGTGAAATATTTTAAAATCGCCCATAAACAGGTTTAAAAAATTATTGAAATTCATGGGGGCCGGGACCGTCCGTATAACTTCCATATTCATGTTGTAAAGTTGGAAATGATTCGATGCACCTAGTTTGGAGGAAAATTTCATAAACGAGGCCTCTTTGACGCGACTTTCGCACCGCCTTAATTTTCAGAAATCGGCTTACGCGGGTGGAGTCCGTTAAGCCGTCCGATTTGTATCCGTTTAATTTAACGATCGCCATTATTTCCGGGGATTCTCGATACCCGTGAGAAGCGTGGAAGGGAGTCGGGAGGATCTTTCTCTCTCTCTCTAGGAGGGCGATTATTTCCCGGAGGTTGAGAAGCCGATCCAACCCTGTAAGGATAGCTCCTCTTCCCCGTGTTCTCTTCTTTTTCCCAGTCTTTTCTACGTCCGACCTAACGACTCGACCTCCGGTACTTGACCTTCGGACCGACTAGCGTCACTTCCCCCGGCGCCCCCTTGCCTCCCTTCCCCCCCTCTCGCGAACCCCGGACCCCGTCTATGTACCGGACCACGTACTGGACTATGTACCGACGAGCGTCGGACTCCTTATCGGCCGACGAGGGGCCGATGCACCGATCGATTTTCAATTGCGCCTCGGTTTAGCCCGGCGCACTGAATTTCCTCAAACCACCGCTTGGAGCCCGTCCAACGGCCTGTCCATCGGATTCGCCTGGGATAAATATTTAGATCGGTCGAGTAACCATTCTCATCGGCCCACGTGGATCCTGCTGGAATTGAATTCGAGGGGGGTCTTTCCGTCTCTTTCCGGAGGTGCGAGATGGCGTCCCATCTCGAAGCCTGGGCGCGAAAAAGAGGGGTCGAAGGGCGTCGCGGGATTCCCGGGATCTTAGATATACCCGAGGAGTGGAATCCTCCGTGGAACGAGCCACGAGTCCGCCGATTCAATTTCCACGCGACAAAGGAATCGGAAGCGACGGCCATTGGCGCGCATGCGCGGCCTCTCCTCCCGCTCCAGGGGAAAGCTCGTTCGCGCAAATTGGATCGCCTCGTTTTTCCCCTGCCCGGAGACCGAATCCCCCACAATTAAAACTTTCGTCCGGGTATAAAAAGGAAATAAAAAAAAAAAAATAAAAAGAAGAAAAAGAAAAACGGCGACGACCGTTCGATAGGGAAAACCGCCCTTCGCGACTCTTCGAGGGTCGCGGCGAGTCCATTCGCAGCGTTTCCGAGCTCGCGCTCCTGCGGTTTCCGCGGGGATTTCTCGGCCCTGATTTGCCAGCTGTGGAGACCGCAGGGTTCGACGGAACTAGCCGAATCGAACTATAACCCGCGCCTCGTTTGTCAACCGAGCGCACTCCGCTGACAGTAGCAACTACGCCCTCCATTCTCTGGTACATTTCTATTACCGCTCTGTTCGAACCGCCGGACCCATAAAATATCCACCATGGGGTAATGACTGGGGCAATAGGCAGCGAACAATTTCTCGGGGCGGTACCGAGAGGCCCGTTTCGTATGAGTCCGGACTTGGACTTTCTCTCTGTTTACTCGCTCCGAAAGCGGCCATCGGGGCTGATCGATCTATATATCCGTATACGCGTACATATGTACGTATATATAATATATATGGGTACATGTCGTCTCATCCGATCCCATCGACGAAAGGAGACAGCACGACAATGCGGATGCCCACCTCGCCGGGCGGAGGAATTTCATATCGCGATGGGAAACGTCATTTTCCGCCGCGTCTTCGGAGGTATTTCCGCGCGTGGCCGCGTATATTTGCGTACGCCGGTAATGTCTAGACCCGGTCGAATTTCATCCCCCGGGAAATAAGTCCGGGAAAGTATTGGGTCCGGGTGAAAATCGCGCGGAATTCGGGCGGGGAGGGTGGCGGTGTTTTTTTTTCCGCCTTTTTCCCCCCGCCACTCGGGGTAATTAGCGGAGCAGTTTCGCCGAGTCCGTAGTCGGCGGGTCTCCTTCGAGGAAAACGCGCCGTTTCGACCGCAGCCTTTCGGCGAGGCGATTTCTTTTGCGAGAGGAACTCTCGGAGCTGATCGATATTCCTATCGCAGGCGGTCCGATCAAAGGGAGTATGTTCGAGGATGAGGAATCTCGGATCGAACCGGAACGCCCGTTTCTCCGCCATCGAGTTTCGACGGAATGGCCGCATTTCGTTCTTTATCTCCCTTTCTCTCTCTCTCCCCGTCTCTCCTTGGACCGTTTTGAAATTGCTTGTCGCCGCTGATCGATGTCTCCACGCCGAGTGCGCCGTGGCACGAGCCTTGTCCTCTCGGAGCCGGACTTGCGGTGTATTCCTGTCGGGATTCTGAATTTAATCCAGGGGAAGCTGTTAGGACGACCGAAACGACGAAGAGGGGAGAGTCGCGAGTCGTTTCGCAATTATCCACGCGCAAGAGCACCGACTGGACCGTGTCGCCGATCCACGTGCGCAACGGCACTCCGCTACGGTACTACTTACGGTTTTACCTCGAATCCGCAATTTCTCCGCTCATTCGGGCCGGTCACAATTTCCAGAACGCTGCGCCCTCCCGCGCTCCAGCCGAGCGGAAAGACGGCTTATTTTTTACGTCGTCCATTTAATGCCGCCTTCGCCTGGGAGACAATTTAGTTACTCCGAAACTCGCCTTTGTCGCCTCGCCGACGTTTCTTCCGCCCGTGATGCCATTTGCGATACGCGTCGAGACTGCCTTTTTCAAACTCTTACGAGAAATCGCGGACGGCCGGGACAGAGAGAGGCATCCGATGATTCCCTGTTTCTCGTAACGATCGGATCGCTTCTATTTTTGGGGGAGAGTCGCGAGAGTCGAGCGTCACTCTCCCACGTAGTCGCGGTGTTGCGTCGCTGCGTCGCTGCGTCGCTGCGTCGTTGCGTCGTTGCGTCGCTGCGTCGTTGCGTCGTTGCGTCTCTGCGTCTCTGCGTCTTTGCGTCGCGGCACCGCTCCCGTTTCGTATCTCGGCCCCTTCCTCCGCTCTTTCTCTCCACTTGAATCAGCCGCATTCCATTAACCTGAGCAACTCGAATTTCTGCCGTACCGTTCCCCGCGATGGCTCCGACAATGAGTCACTGTCCCGCGATTGCCCAAGCAGATAAGAAATCTCGACCGCTCGGATAAGGGAACGCGGTACTCGGTGCGTTTCGTTCCTCCTTTCTTTTGGCTCCTTAGGTCCACCCGAATGCCGAATTGTATCCAAAGGCAGATTCGTTGACTCCGGCTAGCCAATATCTAATCTCTTTCCGCCAAGTAAACGTAATCGAAGGTCGCTATACAAGTA